CTGGGCTCAAGCAAGTCTCCTGCCTCAGCCTCCCAAGTAGCTGGGACCACAGGCGCCTGCCACAACGCCTGGCTATTTTTTGGTTGCAGCCATCGTTGTTTGGCGGGCCCAGGTTGGATTCGAACCCACCACCTTGGGTGTACGTGGCTGGCGCCTTAGCCACTTGAGCCACAGGCGCCGAGCCATGTATAGTTCTTGAAACAAATTGAGATTTTATTTATTGGCTTTGGGAAGCGTTAAATTATTTTAATTTTTACTATTTTTGGCTTTGTATCGTCAAGAGCTAATTTTAGAAAGCATTCTGAAAATTTATAAGGCCTTCTGACAGATTATTGGATTTGGCAACATGCTTGAGCTATAATTCTGTTTCATTGAACACTCTCAAACTATAGTTCTGCTTCATTAAACACCACTGTTTACATGTGCAACAATGTCAGTAACAGCAATGTCCCAGCAATGAAATTCTTCTATGTAAGAAATGTCAATTTTCTGAAAGTCAAACAAAATTCGTTAAATTTACTATCTTGCTTAACTGAACATTAATTTGATGCGTAGCTAATCAGGAAATGCCTGCCTCACCATTTTATGGAGGTTTTCATCCTCTAAAACAGTGGATCTCAACCTTCGTAATGCCGCAGCGGCCCTCTAATACAGTTCCTGTGGGTCACAACCCACAGTTTGAAAACCCCTGCTCTAAAAGAAACTAACATTTCAGAATAGATAAGCTTTTTACCTGGAATGTAGAGTCCATTCAGCCGAGACTTATGTGCCTAGTATACAGATTTTAATTTTACACTAAAATATTTAAGACTAATTCTAGTCAATTTATTTCAGATTAAATTTAGTGGAAGCATTCGTGGAAGATGCAGAGTTGAGGCAGAGTTTACAAGAAGATTTACTTCGTCGCTTCCCAGATCTTAACCGACTTGCTAAGAAATTTCAAAGACAAGCTGCAAACTTACAAGATTGTTACCGACTCTATCAGGGTATAAATCAACTCCCTAATGTTATACAGGCTCTGGAAAAATATGAAGGTAACAAATGATCTCTTTTGTTGGTTTGTTTTCCTTCACTCTTACAGTATATACTGGGCAAATGTGCTGTCCTCACAAAGTTGATGGCAGTGATTCACTCTTAGAATACATTAAGTTTTTCTAATGATAGGCTTGTGTTCACCTATGTTTAATAACAGAGATAGAAGACATCTTAGATTTTTTACTTTTTAAAAATGATTGTTAGAGTTACCGAGTTTATGATTAAGATCTATTACACTAACAGAGGCAGTTAAACAGGATTTGATGGCCGAAGAAGACTCATAGGACCAAAAATGACAGTGCTTACACGTGTCAGTTTATTAGAGGGAAAGGGAACAATCCAGTAGCAGCAGTAAAGTCAGGATATGCATTACAGTCAGAGGTTGTCACAGCAAGTTGTCCAAAGAGGTCAGGTGCAGGTACTAATTGTCTTTTTCTTTTGTAAAGTTTGTGTTGGGATGTGTACATACTGCACTGTGGAACCAGGGAGCCTAACAGAACCTTAGCTAGGCCTCTCTCATATAGTAAATAAAAAGCCTTGTGGCTCGGCGCCTATAGCTCGGCCGGCTAAGGCGCCAGCCACGTACACCTAGGCTGTCGGGTTCGAGTCCCCAGCCCGGACCCGCCAGACAACGATGATGGCTGCGGCCAGAAAATGGCCGGGCGTTGTGGCGGGCGCCTGTGGTCCCAGCTGCTTGGGAGGCGGAGGCAGGAGACTCGCTTGAGCCCAGGAGTTGGAGGTTGCTG